GCAAGACGAACGTTGCTTCGAATATCGGAATTTCCATCGCATGCCAGTTCGAGAGTCCCTTATTAGCGCGAACGGGACGGAACTAGGCTTTTCGCAGTCTGCGGAGAGAGGGAATATTTGGTTCACGCCAGCCATCAAGTCAGGCGTGTGGTGCGCGCAGTCGTTGTTGATTTTGGGCAGCAAAAGCATAGAAGCCACCGCTAATTCAGTGCATAACGGGCGCGCGATAGCTAACTACTATTGCAACTCTAATAATATTATACTCTTGCTAGAATTTAACTCGTGTTAGCATTGAAGTGATTTTATAATTAATTGTGTGAATAAGTTATGTGTTTATTATAGACCTTGTGTCATTTAGGACTTTAAAAAAGTGAAAAAAATGCACGCGCTATTCGGTGAACAGAACGCCTACTACAGGCAGACCAGTGCCACGGCTGGATATCCAGTGTCCGGCGCTGGTGTCCCGCATGCGGCTGCAACAACGCCATATGGTTATGAACAGTATTCTCGTATGGATATGCAGGAACGTCACCTTATGCGCTTAGTGCACATCATCATCATCACCACCATCATCAACAACAATCTTTACATGCAGCTAAAGAAATGGTTAAACCGCCGTATTCATATATTGCTTTGATAGCGATGGCAATTCAGCACGCTTCAGAAAACGGATAACATTAAACGGTATTTATCAATTTATAATGGAACGATTTCCTTATTACCGAGAGAATAAACAAGGCTGGCAAAATTCGATTAGGCATAATTTAAGTTTGAACGAATGTTTCGTAAAAGTAGCTCGGGATGATAAGAAGCCTGGAAAGGGAAGTTATTGGACGCTTGATCCGGATTCGTATAATATGTTTGACAATGGCTCTTATTTGCGCCGAAGAAGACGATTCAAGAAAAAAGATGCTGTGAAAGAAAAAGAGGAAGCTTTGAAACGTCAACAACAGTTACAGATGGCGCACGACGCTGTTTCAGTAAAAAGGCAGCTTCTACAACAGTTAGACGATGTGAAAGTCGATGTTAAACCTAAGTTGAAACGTGAACCAGACTGCGGATCTAATAAATATCCAAGTATTGTAGCAGGCGTAGTGTCAGGAACTCAAGAATTAACTCTAGCAGATCACACTACAGTAATGGACACGAGCGCCGCATTTAGTGTGGACAGCTTAATGGGTGGTGCATATGCAAGAACACCTTCATTAACAAATCTACCAGGCTTGTACCCGTACCATTGTTCACAATACCAAGAAGAACAGCAACAACATCAGCACCAAACACAACAATATGCGACGCGACCTTCGGCATGGTATACGCCAGAAACATCGCCTGAAATGCCTCCCGGATTTCGGGATTTGTTTGAAGCTCCCAGCTGTCAAATGGCGCCGCCGCTCCCTACGCCCGGTTCTGTGCAGGGCAGCCCGCCGAGAGTGACGACACCGCCGCCCGTGACGACGGCTCATTACCGGCCGCATACCGGGACATATTACCAGCCGGACTGCGCGCAAAAGTACTGACGCCACCAGTAGTACTCGACCGAGTTTCGTGGTACGTACCGTTCTAAGATTCCGTTTCTAGTTTGAGTGGACGATTTCAATATCGCGAACTGAATCTCCTTTGTGAAAGAATATAATTTGTGTTAATAGAGTTCTAAGTGTTACAACTAAGTGTTCTGGTTCTGAAGTACCATAAGCTACATTTTCAATAATGTCATGAGCATTCAATATATAAACGGTTCTATATATAATTTTCGTTGAGTTTGATATACTAATTCAACCAGAATTTTTATCTTGATTGAGGTATTGCGGTTCATTGATTCACTCATGAAAGGTTTTTCATCTGAATAATTGCCATGACCAATTAAACTGATTTCGTAAATACTAATTTTGCAACATCTCAAATATTAAAAAAAAAAAACATTCCGCAAAACAAATTTAATCACTCTTTATATATACGTACTTATTTGTTAACATTTTGCATTTAATAGTAGTAGAAATAATTAACAGACCAATTGTAATAAAAATTATGTTAAAAAACATTATTATAAAATTCTTATTAGCGTAATGTATATATTCCCAGTACATATTCTTGGCAATGTACTATAATGTATTATATTGAAAACATGATCTAAAATATATAATTGTGATAATAATTGATATATGTTAAATAACATAAGCAAGAACTTAGATGCTTATATGGATAAGTTTATCAAGCTTTATACGGCAAAACTTACCGTTAACTATTAGCATACTTATTAAGTGCTAAGGTTAAGGATAATGTTAGTTGTTGCTATAGATATGATAGTATTGCTACATTAAGGAATGTTATGGATTGAATTTTCTTAGAATCGTCATGTAAATACTTTCTGCTTAAAAACTTTGAACTAGACTATGATTAACTATTTCATTTAAACAATTACAGATGTTAATCACTTTAAGTTATATTGAAATCTTTATAAATAAAATAATTACCTACATAAAATTTAGACAATATATTCTATAAGCGTGGTCAATGTTATTATTCAAATTCATGATAAAATTTATTGAGATTGGCAACATAGTTGTGATTCAACAGTTACTGAACTATTTTTTTCTGTTTTACTTGTTTTATCATTCCTTTCCCTAAAATGTGTATTATTTACATAAGATATAGTGAATACTTTGTATATATAACTGAATGTATTAATCGGAAGATAGAAGTAATGATTATATAAATATAATAGTATAATGTAAAATTATGAATGGAGTGCTAAATTCGAACATACCTATAAATATATTATATGAAAAATGACTGTCTGAATATTTATTAATAAGTAAAATAAATAATATTGAATAGTATGAGATTTTTTTCATTTATACACATATAACAAATATTTTATTTTCAGCTATTTGAGTTGTATTATGCTAAAGAATAAAGTATGCAACTTTTGACATGTTATTATTAGAAGGAATTTCCTGAACATTAAAATTTTTACATTTAAAAATTAAACTTGTTTCAAGTTTTCACTTGTGCACGGTTTAAAAAATATATTTCGTCTATACATTTTTGTCAAAATTTTATTGAGAAGTCTTTTTCGTTGGTAAAGTTTCATCTTTGAACTTACTTTTTGAAGTTTTGTATAGATATTCAATAGAGTTAACTCAATAGAAATAATAATAAAATGTATGAATATGATCATCATAGTATTTATTATTACGGTATCTGACTATGTTCAGTAAAAAGGTCCAATATCTTATTTTTAATTTTAAAATTTTACGAAATAATAGCTACATCATTCAACCAATGCAAAATATAAATTACATGGGTACAGTTTTTACAGAGAATACACTGCAAACAACCTTGATCTGGTATTTCGTCAGAAATAATAATAAGCAGAGTTGGAATGGAATGAAATAGAATGTTTGTTTGCTTTAACCTAATTTACTATTTTATTTACTATTTTTTATTATTCCCAACTTTGTCAGGATAAAGGCTCAGATGATCCTTTTTGCCCCATTTACATGTAAGCTTTTATAAAGATTTAAAAAAAAACTGTTCAATCTAAATTTAAAATAGTATTACATATTATAAGACATTTAATTAACGTAAACTTAGAAATTATCTTGAGGTCTCGTAAATCAAATAACAGTGCTTACAATCAAATGAACTAAAAACGAAAAAAAAAAATTGTTATGAATTTTCAAACATTTCAGTTTATCTTCTGATAGTGATGATGCAGAAATCAAAGCGCATAGGCTGGTTATACTTCTTTTTTCCACTACTTTCAAATATAGTTATTAAAAAATTCTTAACTTTACTTGTTCTTGAGACACCCTATTATTTCGAAAAATTCTTTTTATTCTCATTTTTAGTCCCGACTATTCTTATCTTCCACACTTATCAAAGATAACAGATATTTCAAACATACATCAATATAACATTTATCTATTTCTATCCACATTAATATCTCTATAAAATCCATATTAAATCCGCAGGCCACGCCCGTGCGCACTCCCGGGAAATTCAAATCGAAAATTCGCTTCTATCCGAACCACGCCCTGCTACGTTTGAAACAAAAGCTGTGCTGTAGACCACGCATCACCGTAGCGTGGGTCTACGGTCTACGCCATAGCGGGGGTGGCTGGATAGAGAGCTACGCCGTTAAAAGCTCTCCATTGTAATATGTATTACATTATCTTTGCAAAGACAATATTATTGTTATTTAATGCCTTAAACTGTGTACGAGAGCGCGGACGGCGCAGTTTTTAGACTTCCTAGTATTAAGATCTTGAACGGGTTAACCAGAGTATAGATATATAAAACTAATTGTAAGACGAAAAGCGCATATTAGAAATATTTTATTTGAATCGATATTTTTTATATTTAAAATGGTTAAATATATCAAATCTGATAATTTTGATTTACATATCAGGTTTCATAGTATTTTCTATATCTGTGAGGAATGGGAACTAAAAGTAATGTTTTTTTAAAATTATATCAAATATGTTTAGTAAAACTACAACCTAGTTAATCATTGTAGAATGTATATTTTTGGTATTTTTTTACCCCATAGGCGGAGTAAATTGAGACGGCTAGAGAATAAACTGATCAAATGTACTATTTTAGTTTTAAAGTGATTTTACAAAATAGTAATTACATATTCAACCAATGCAAAATATAAATTTCATGGCATTTTTACAGAGATAGCACTGTAAATAGCCTTGATTTGGTATTTCCTCAAAAATATACATTAGCAGAGTTGGAATATCTATCTTTTAAATGTATATCTACTAAAATTACTTTTTCTAACTTAATTTTCTATTTTATTTGCTATTTTTTATTTTTTACACCTGTGCCATGGTAAAGGTTCAGTTGGTCCTTTTTATCTCACCCAGGGGCAAGCTTTTATAGAGATTATATAAAAAACTGTTAAATCTAACTTAAAATTAACAATAGGTCTTTAAGAAACGTATACTTAAAAATTATATTAAGACTTCCTGAACTAAGCAACAGCGCTCATAACCAAAAAAACTAAATATCAATAAAATACTTTTTTTTATTGATTTCCAACTGTTTATCTACTGATATCAACGCCATAAGAATCAAGATTATGGCTGGTTATACACATTTTTTTCTCCACTTTGTTATAAAAAAATTCTTAACTTTACTTGTTTTTGAGATAATGGTGGTAGATCTTTTTACCCGCGGACTTTAACCCCCTCTACCCTATCTATTTTATACGCGTATTTTTTGTACATTTTCATTAAGGATTCATTGAGTAGGCATATATATATATATATAATTGATATTGAAAAGAAAAATACTGATGTACTGATGTATCGGAGCGATCGCCCCGTATCGATGTTTCACGCTTGACGCTTTCAACATGGCCAAAGGCTGACATTTGCCAGCAAACGCGCGAAATATTAACAAACGCATCCGATCAAATACATGCAAAACGAACATACTCGTACGTTACAAAAAATTACGCGAATCAGCCAAACATAAAACTTTTGACCCACGAATGCATTAGATTTAAATCTTAAGAAAAATTCTGAATTCTTAATATGTAATTCGTTCACATACGAATAATTTTTGTTTAACCCAATGGTTTTGTTCTTAAAGTTTTATTCCTTAAGTTAGAAAAATGTATGCGTAAATAAGAAGAACCTTTCGTAGGCGTTTTCTCAAAACTCAATTTAAAATAAAATTAAAAAAAAACTCACCATAAATACTCAAATTGATTAATTTTGAAATGAAAAAAGAGGTTCGAAAGATGTCTTTGTAGAACCGTGAAAATAAGTTCATAAACATGTATGCAGATCATTTTTTCGTAAAAAATGTTACGAATTCAAAAACCCAAAATCTATTCACTTTACTTTCAATTGCCAACACGTTTTCTTACAGTGTATTATTTATTACAGATTTAAAAAATACATATTTAAAAATCAACGGTAAAGAAAAAATTGATTTATAAGCATTGGTAGTTAACTAAAAACTTTTTGATTACTAATATATCTAACAGCTAGTTTGTTTTGCAAAAATCGATACTGATTGGTCTTTCTGAAAGTTATTTAACTTTGTTAAATTCATTCTAAATAAATTTATCAAGAATCGCGATGCTCATATAAGTGTAAACATAACTTAATTCTTTTCTTCATAATTGAATTCTGAATTTTTTAATAAGTTTTGAATAAGCAAACAAGAACAAAATTGTGAATTTGTTTTGTATTTTTGTAATATTATATACCTAAAAGTTATAGACGTACTGCTGCTGCACATGCGTTGAAGAAGCAGTTAATAAGATACAATTACTTCTATATTTAGGACGGATCAATATTGACTTAACACAAATCAGCACCTCTTAACCTCAAAAGATCAAACATTATACGTCGCATTTTCTTGGGAAATGGTTCAATTGCAAGTTTGTGATCGTGCCAATAATTTGCAAACTTGATACTTTTCCTTGGAGCGTTTATATTTCTCTTAAAATGAATATATAAATGTCTAATGTATATATACATAAATGTCTTTAAAT